AGTTCGAGACCAGCCTGGCCAATATGATGAAACCCTGTCTCTACTGAAAATACAAAAATTGGCCGGGCGTGGTGGCTCAAGCCTGTAGTCCCAGCTACTCAAGAGGCTGAGGCAGGAGAATTGCTTGAACCTGGGAGGCGGAGGTTGCAGTGAGCTAAGATCGTGCCACTACACTCCAGCCTAGGCAACAAGAGTGAAACTCTGTCTCAAAAACAAAGCAAAACAAAACAAAAAACAAAATGTGAATGCCATAAAATGGTATACAGAAAAGGTAAGCCTATCTCCCATCTTTTTTCCCCCATTACCACCTGCTCATTCACCACTCCCTCCTCCACTTGTCATTACTGGGTTAATATTCGTTTAAAAACTAACAGGACCTCTGCTTCTGGGAAGATGGAGTAGATGTACTTTTCTCTATTCTTTCTGTTAAGTACAACTAAAAACCCTGGATATTACATAAATTATAAATAATTTAGTAAATATATAATATATAAAACGCCTCTTAAAAGGCAGAGAGAAGAAGGCAGACCAGCTAAGGACCTCAGGACCCAAGAAACAACACGGTGATGAGTTCTCTAGGTTTTCTTTTTGTTTCTTATGTCCCAGATTTGCAGTTGAAGAAGCCGGCAACCCAGAAATGTTGATAAGCTCAGATGCAAAAAGCTCCCCCAAAAATTTGCTCTCTCTAGCCAAATGACCAGTCTAGTAAGACAGAATATGTGGGTTTATTCCAGGGATATAAGGATGGTTCGTTATTTGAAAATGAATCTCATCCACCAAATTAATGAACTAAAAGAAGAAAACTTACATGATGCTCTCTATCAGTGCAGAAAATGCAAAATTTAGCACACATTTATGATTTTAAAAATCTCAGGAAAAATAGACGTAGAGGGGGAATTTCCTAAACTTGATACAGGGTATACGCCATAAGCCTTCAGCTAACATACTTAAGGGTGAGAATGAATGCTTTGCCCCTAAGATGGGGAACAAACCAAGGATATCAGTCTCACCACTTATCCAACATAATGCTGTAATTTCTAGCCAGTGTAATAAGGTAAGAAATGGAAATAAAAGTCATATAGATTGGAAAAGAAGGAATAAGACTCACTATTTGCAGATTACATGATTGTGTACATAGAAGATCCCGAGGCATCCACAAAAAACTCTCTCAGAACTAATAAGTAAGTTTAGCAGGGTTACAAGATACAAGATAACACACAAAAATCAATTGCATTTCTGTATACTAGCAATGAACATATGGATATCAAATTTTTAAAAAATACCATTTCGGCCAGATGTGGAAATTCATGCCTGTAATCCTAGCACTTTGGGAGGATGAGGTGGGAGGATCACTTGAGTCCAGGAGTTCAAGATCAACCTGGGCAACATGGTGAGACCCTGTCTCTGCAAAAAATACAAAACTTAGCTGAGCGTGGTGGTGATGCTTGCAGTCCCCGCTACTGGGGAGGCTGGGGTGGGAAGATTGCTTGAGTGTGGCAGGCAGAGGTTGCAGTGAGCCGAGATCACGCTGCTGCACTCCAGCCTAGGCAACAGAGTGAGACCCTGTCTCAAAAAATAAAATAAAATAAAATAAAACAAAACAATACCATTTGTAGTTGCTCAAAAAAAGAGAGAAATAGGTGTAACAAACATGTTACACGTAACAAAGCATGTATAGGATTTGTTTTTTGTTTTGTTTTGTTTTTGTTTGGTTGGCTTTTTTTGAGACAGAGTTTTGCTCTTGTTGCCCAGGCTGTAGTGCAATGGTGTGATCTTGGCTCACTTTGACCTCCGCCTTCTGGGTTCAAGCAATTCTCCTGCCTCAACCTCCCGAGGACTGGGATTACAGGCACCCCCACCACCACCACACCCGGCTGGTTTTTTGTATTTTTAGTAGAGTCAGGGTTTTACCATGTTGGCCAGGCTGGTCTCGAACTCCTGACCTCAGGTGATCCACCCACCTCGGCCTCCCAAAGTTCTGGGATTACAGGCATGACCCACCATTCCCGGCTACTTGTATCAGATTTAACTGCTGAGAACTACACAACACTGATGAAAGAAATCAAATATCTATGTAAATGGAAACCCCATACTGTACTCAGGAATTGGAAGACTCAACAAAGTAAAGATGCCAACTTTCCCCAAATTGACACACAGGTTTAGCACACTTTCTATAAAAATCCCAGTCATATTTTTTATAGATAAAGACAAGATTACTCTAAAATTTATATGGAAAGGCAAAGGAAATAGAATAGCTAAAAGAATTTTGAAGAAGAAAAATAAAGGAGCAGCACATATATCAATGAATCAGAATAGAAAATCCAGAAATAGGCCCACCCAAATATGCCCAATCAGTTTTTGACAAAAGTGCAAAAGCAATTCAATGGAGGAAAGATAACGTTTTCAAAAAATGGCGCTGGAGCAAATGGACACAAAACTTAGACCTAGGTCTGACATCTTATACAAAAATTAATGAATCATAGACCTAAGATGTAAAACATAAAACTATAACACTTTTTTTTTTTTTTTTTTTTTTTGAGACAGGGTCTCCCTCTGTCCCCCAGGCCTGGAGTGCAGTGGCGTGATCTCAGCTCATTGCAACCTCCGCCTCCTGGGCTCAGTTGATCCTCCAGCCTCAGCCTTCCAAGTAGCTGGGACTCACAGGCGTGAGCCACCACGCCTGACTAATTTTCGTATTTTTTGTAGAGATGGGGCTTCGCCATATTGCCCAGGCTGTTCTCGAACTCCTGAGCTCAAGCAATCTGCCCACGTCAGCCTCCCAAAGCGCTGGGATTACAGGCGTGAGCCACCGCACCCAGCCAAAACTATAAAACTTTTAGAAAAGAACATAGAAGAAAATCTTTGTGTTCTGGGGGCAAGGAGCTCCGAGACTTGACACCAAAAGCATGCCCCATAAAAGGAAAAATTAGATTTTATTTAGGGTTTAAGAGTTTAGACTCTGGACTCTCTCAGCCCTGGTTTTACTAGTTAGCTCTATCACTAACTACGTTGGGCATTTAAAACTCCTGTGTTGTCCCACGTGGTGCGTGGGTGATTGTAGATGAGGACACACATCCTGAAGGCAGAAGTAGTTGGTTGGTGGCAGAGTCTGGGTTACAACCCCTGGTCTCCTGGTTCCGAGTCCAGGTGAAACACTTTCCCCTGCAGTCCACCCTGTTACAGAGGATAAAAAGACACGTTATAGACTAGGGGAAAAATTTTGCCTACCACATATATAACAAAGGACTAGCAGGTAGGACAGCTGAAGAACTCTCAACGTTCAACGGGGTAGAAGAACAAACAATTCAATAGAATATGGGCAAAAGACATGAAGAGGCATTTTACCAAACATATGGTGCTATGATCTGAATATTTGTGTTCTCCTCAGATTCCTGTGTTGAAGGCCTAACCCCCAAGGTATTGGTACTAGGAGGTAGGGGCTGTGGGAGGTGATTAGGTCATGAAGGTGGAGCCCTCATGAATGGGATTAGTGTCTTTATAAAAGAGACCTTTGCCATGTGTGAGGTTACAGTGAGAAATCTATCTATGAAGAAAGTGGGCCTTCACCAAATACAGTCTGCTGGCACTTAGCTGTTCAACTCCCCAGCTTCCAGAACTGTAAGGAACACAATTCTGTTGTTTATAACCCAGTCTATGCTATTTTGTTATAGCAGCCCAGACAGACTAAGACAGGTGACACATAAACATGAAAAGATGTTCAGCCTCATTAGCCTTTAGGGAAATGCTGATTGAAACCATAGCAAAATATCATGATACAGTTTTCAGCGTGGCTAAACTAGAAATAGTGACCCCACCAAATGCCGGCAAGGATAAGGGGAAACTGGGTCACTCAGACATTGCTACTGGGAGTGTAGAATGCTACAGCCACTTTCATAAACAGTTTGTCAGTTTCTTTAAAAATGAAACCTGCAACTACCATATGACCCAGCAGTTGTACCCCGGGCATCTATCCGAGAGAAATGAAAACTTAACGTTTGTGCAAAAACCTGTGTAAGAACGTTCGATCAGCTTTATTCATAATATGCCCAAATGGGAAACAACTCAGCCATCCTTCAGTAGGTAAATAGTTAAGCAAATTGTGACACCCCTGTGTCATGGAGCACTACCTAGCAATGAAAAAGGAGCAAATTATTGATACATAACAATCTGGGTGAATCTCCAGAGGATTATGTTGAATGAAAAAAGTCAGCCCCTGAAGGATACATACTGTATGATTCCATTTACATAACATTCTTGAAATGCTAAAATTATAGAGATGGGGAACAGATTTATGGTGGTGAAAGATGGTGTGGGGTGGGAAGAAAGTAGGTGTGGCTATAAAAGGCACCATGAAGGATTCTCGTGGTGATGGAAATTTCTGTATTTTTATTGTATCCGTGTCAATATCCTGGTTGTGATATGGTAATACAGTTTTGCAAGATGCTACCCTTAGAGGAAATTAGGTAAGATCTGGCATCTCTCTGTATTATTCCTTAATTGCATGCGAATCTACAATTATTTTGAAATAAAAAGTATGATTGAAATAACTATCAGGAAGCTTAGCGTACTGGGGATTAAGACATTGAAACTGCAGAAGGCTTTAGCAAAGCTATACTACTGCAAGGATAGTTCACACTTGAATTAGCTTGAAACATTACCTATCTGTATCACCTTAGAAAGCAGAAAATGGACCTTTGTTGGAGTGGGACACTGGATGGCCAGGGTTTGGCAGAGCCTGCCCAACAAAAATAGCTTCAAAATTGACTTTATTCTCAGGAAGGCTCTTCCTGGACAGTGGCAAACATAGCCATAGCAAATGCTGGCTCACTTCCTGTCAGCCAGCAGCCCTGGCGGAAGAGGGCCTCTTACTCAGTTGTACAGCAAGCTGTCTCCAGGAGCCGGGGCTGGAGAGACAGCCAGTGTGGCTGAGGGTCTGTCTAGCTGCTTCTGCCCAGGAACAAGGCCTATCCTTGTACTCATGGCTTCCTTTTCTCTTGCAGATGCCCACTATTGCTTGGTTCTACTTCCTTCATCCCGACTGGCCGTCGGACTTATGCCGCTGCAGTGGAGCCGGTGAGTGGAAGCCCCGCTACCTGGGAGCCAGTTGGATGGTCAGAACCCTTTCCTCTGGGCCCCTGGGCCCTGAGCTACCCTCAGCGTGGGGCTTTAGTGTTTCCAGGACACTCGGAGCCACTTTCTCACTTAAACCTCCTCCAAAGCCCCTCATCAGTAATGAGCTCACATACCCCCATCCGTGTGGGAAGGAAGCAGTAATGAGGCACTCCAGCCCCTCCCAGCCAGGAAGGTATCGGTGGAGGCCTAGTGTGGAGCCAGAACTCCCAGCCCCACCCAGCAAGTTAGGGGTTAAGAGTTTAGACTCTGGAGGTCTGGCGCAGTGGCTCACGCCTGTAATCCCAGCACTTTGGGAAGTTGAGGTGCGTGGATCATCTGAGGTAGGGAGTTCAAGACCAGCCTGGCCAACATGGAGAAACCCCATCTCTACTAAAAACACAAAATTAGCTGGGCGTGGTGGTGCATACCTATAATCCCAGCTACCCGGGAGGCTGAGGCAGGAGAATCACCTGAACCCAGAAGGTGAAGGTTTTGCGGTGAGCCGAGATCGCGCCACTGTACTCCAGCCTGGGCAACAACAGCCAAACTTCATGTCAAAAAAAAAAAAAAAAAAGAAAGAAGAGTTTAGACTCTGGAATCTCTTAGCCCTGGTTTCAGTTCCAGCTGTATCGCTAACTACATCGAGCATTTAAACAAAGACCACTGTTTCTCACATGTAGCATGGGGGGTTGTAGATGAGATTCTAAAGGCAGAAGTAATTTTCCCAAGCAACGTTGCTGGTTGGTGGCAGAGTCTGGGTTAGAACCTGGCCTTTCCACTATACCTTGGTGCTTCTCCAGACAGCAAGAACAAGGTAGGGAGGGCCAGGCTGGGGCCACTCAGGAAGCACTAGCTCTCACTGCACAGAGGGTGGAGAGGCCTGGTCACTTCGCCCTGTACCCCTGGTTCCTAACATGGAATCTGACCTTGTAAAACAGGTTGGCAGCAAAGCTGTCCTGGTCACAGGCTGTGACTCTGGATTTGGGTTCTCGTTGGCCAAGCATCTACATTCAAAAGGCTTCCTTGTGTTTGCTGGCTGCTTGATGAAGGTAAGAGACAATTATCTTCTTCACCATGGTCTTTTACACAAGGTCATTGTTTTATAGTCTTTTAAAAATTCCCTTCCTAACAACCGGCTCACCTTTGCTTAAACCAGCCTGTCCATTTTCCACTGGCTTCAGTCCCACTTGTTCTTCATAGCTTTGTCCATCCATCATCCATGCATCCATCCATCCATCCTCTCATCCATCCATCATTTGTCAAATGTTCTGATGTACCTGACACTTTGCTAGGTGCGTAGAAGAATGAGATCTTGTCCCTGCCCTGAAGTTGCTCCCTGTCAAGTGGTGAGGAGACAGCCATGCGTAGACACAGCCGAAGAATTAGAATGAAGAAGATTCTCAGGGGTGTGCGAGAATGTTCGGTGAGACTGTATAGAAGGAAGGGATAGATGATGGCAGGCCAGAGGAAGTGACATTTGTTCTGGGCCATGGCAAGTAAATAACGCTGCCATAGGTGGAGACTGGGAGGAGTTACCTGCTGGACAGGAGGACTATCCTGAGCAGAGGCTTGAAAGCATGAGGCTCCTTTGGGACACATTAAGGAGAATTTAAGGGGCATGAAGGGAAGCACTGGGACCTGAGACTGCAAAAGCAAACAGTGGGCAGGTCTCCAGTTAGAGAGTTGTGCGCCCACCACCACTGTCCACTTTCAGAATACTCCGTCACTCGGAATTCTCTCTCTCGACCACTGGGAGTTAGTCTCCACGTACACTTCTAGCCCCGAGCGGCCACTGATTTCTATTTCTGTAGGTTGCGTTTTCTGGACTTTTCATCTACATGGAATCATACAATACGTGGCCTTTTGTGCCAGGCTTCTTGAACACTTAGTGTAATGTTTTTGAGAGTCATCCATGTTGCAGAATGCATAAGTAGTTCATTCCTTTGTATTACTGAATGGTATTCTATTGTGTGCCTATACTGTATATATATATATATTTTTTTTAATTTAATTATTATTTTTTTTTTTTGGAGACAGAGTTTCACTTTGTCACCCAGGCTGGAGTGCAGTGGTGCAATCTTGGCTCACTGCAACCTCTGCCTCCCAGGTTCAAGTGATTCCCCTGCCTCAGCCTCCCAAGTAGCTGGGACTACAGGCATGAGCCACCAGGCTCACCTAATTTTTGTATTTTTATTAGAGATGGGGTTTCACCATCTTGGCCAGGCTAGTCTGAAACTCCTGACATCAGGTGATCCACTTGCCTAGGCCTCCCAAAGTGCTGGGGTTTCAGGCGTGAGCCACTGTGCCCAGCTATACTATATTTTTAAAACATCCATTCACTAGTTGATGGATGTCTGGATAAAAATGTTTGGATTTTGGGTTATTGTGAATAATGATGCTATGAACTTTCACACACAGGTCTCTCTGTAGATGTGTGTTTTCTACCTAGCTCCTTTTAATGAAATTTAGAAACCAAGATCTGGGCATCAGGTGGGCTCATCGCCAGTAGGGCTCGGGGCATTGTTCATCCTGCCTGGCAGTGGACAGAGCTACAAGATGTATATATCATATCATATCACACAAAAGCACACACATGCACACACTCTATCTATAGCACACATATAAAGTCAGTGGAACCTTGTGATTTTATTTATTTATTCATAAAATCATGAGGTTATGTTGATCTACTCCAATTCAGCACAAGGCATTCTTCCTTGCTTATCTCATTCCATATTTGTTTCCTCCTTCTCCTGCAGTTAGACCCTAATTCCTATTTCAATATCTTTACTCAATTGATTAGTCCTACAATACACACAACGTAGTTTCAGAATCATTACATTCATACCATTGCAGACAGCAAAACTTACTAAGTAGATGTGTCGGCTTGGATCCTCCAAGAAGTCAATGCCAAAATAGGGGTAGATGTGCAAGAGATTGATTAGGGAAATGCCTAGAATGTTTGAAGGGGGAAGGGGCAGAAAAAGGCAGGGAAAGCTTTTGACTGCAATACAGTGTGTGATAAGAAATCGCAAGGAGGCCGGGCGCGGTTGCAGGCACCTGTAGTCCCAGCTACTCGGGAGGCTGAGGCAGGAGAATGGCGTGAACCCGGGAGGCGGAGCTTGCAGTGAGCTGAGATCTGGCCACTGCACTCCAGCCTGGGCGACAGAGCGAGACTCCGTCTCAAAAAAAAAAAAGAAAGAAATCGCAACGAAGGAAGATGAGGGAGGCAGAGCTTCAGACTGCAGTGTCTGTCCTCTGAGAGTCTTGGCTGGGACCTTGGGGAAGCCCCAAGAAAAGATTGTTTGTTAGAGGAGACCAGTGTTGGCCAGGAATGGTCCTGCGATCCCTCCGTGTGCGGCCATTGGCTGAGGACAGGCCAGGCTCGTGTGGTCGCGGCGTTGACGCCATGGCTGTGAAGTTGCAGGGGTTGCGATGGCGTAGCTGTCAACCGTTCCTGCAGCAGACTTCCCTGAAGGGAGGTCTCAGTGGGGCACCTCCGTGGTTGCCACAGTAGAGCTTATTTAGGATTTCGTTAAAGTGTTTTTTGACTTTAAAGGTATGACTGAAGGTATACAAAGCATTATTATTACTTTTTCTAAGACGGAGTCTTGCTCTGTCGCCCCAACAGGAGCTGGAGTGCAGTGGTACTATCTCGGCTCACTGCAACCTCTGCCTCCTGGGCTCAAGCAATTCTCTTGTCTCAGCCTCCCGAGTAGCTGGGATTACAGGTGCCCACCACCACGCCCAGCTAATTTTTGTATCTTTAATAGAGACAGGGTTTCACCATGTTGGCCAAGCTGGTCTCAAACTCCTGTCTTCAGGAGATCCACTCACCTTGGCCTCCTGAAGTGCTGGGATTACAGGCGTGAGCCACCACTCCTGGCCCAAAGCACTATTTTTAAAAGTTACTTGTATTAATTTTTGTTTTTTCTTTATCACTATATTATTTATTTGAAATATAATGCCATTTATTTGTGATCTGTTTTCCTTGTTGTTGTTTCTTGTTGATGTAATTTAATTTCTGAATATGTAAACCATTAACAAGGCTGTAAAGTCAAAAATTATACAAATAGGTAAAATCAAAGTAGCGTGATTCCCTCACCTCCTATCTGTTCCACTCCATTCTTTCATTTTCCCCCATGTTACACAAGTGTTTGCACATTGCATGCACTCTTTGGTTTTTTAAAACATTAACAATGTATCTTGGAAATCAGTTTGTATGGCCTCACAGAGTCCGTATGGCCTCAAACAGTCCGTATGACCCCGCAGAGTCCGTATGACCCCACGGAGTCCGTATGGCCCCGCGGAGTCCGTGTGGCCTCACAGAGTCCATATGGCCCCACAGAGTTTGTATGACCTCACAGAGTCCGTATGACCCCGCAGAGATCTTTCTCACTTTGATAACGGCTTTGAAGCACCCTACTGAGTGGGTGGGTCATAATTTACTTCACCAAAATCTCCTGTAGATAAGCATTTAGGTGCTTTCAATATTTTGCAATTACAAATAATGCCACAATGAATAACCTTGTAGTTTCATTATTATTGGGGGGTTATCCCTTTTTTTACTTTTTTTTGAGATGGAGTTTCACTCTCGTTGCCCAGGCTAGAGGGCAATGGCCCAGTGTCGGCTCACTGCAACCTCCACCTCCCGGGTTCAAGCAATTCTCCTGTCTCAGCCTCCCAAGTAGCTGGGATTACAGGTGTCCACCACCACCCCTGGCTAATTCTTGTATTTTTAGTAGAGAGGAGGCTTCACCATGTTGGTCAGGCTGGTCTCAAACTCCTGACTTCAGGCAATTCGCCCGCCTTGGCCCCCCAAAGTGCTGGGATTACAGGCGTGAATCATTGCATCCAGCCATTGGGGGACTATCTTTAGAGTAAATTCCTGGGAGTGAGATTGCTCTTATCAGAGGGTAAATAAAATATATTGTCATTTTAAAGATATTCCCAAATTTTCCATCATAGGGGTCATGTAATTTTACATTCCCTCCAGGAGTGTATGAGTGTCTATTTCCACACAATTTCACCAACAGAGTATGCGTCAAGCTGTTGATTTTTGCCAGTCTGATAGGTGGGAAATGTACCTCAGCATTGTTTTTATTGTATGTCTCTTCCGAGCACGTACCCCTGTTCTTTAAGGACATGACCCAGAAGCTTCCCAGATATCAGCTGTGCTCTCATTCTCTGGGCCAGAACTTAGTCATGTGGCCTTACCTGGCTGCAGGGAAGGCTGGAGGATGTAGGGAGTATTCTGAGACAATATGTACCTGGCCTAAAACGTCAGGCGTTCTACTGCTATGGAAGAAGGACGAAGGGAAGTGTGGGCATTCGGGACAACTTGCTTTCTCTGTTCAGTGGCTGAGGCATTTTTCTTTATTTTCAAGGCCATAGGAACCCAGGGGAGGAATTTTCCATACTATGTTTGATATCTTTGTAATGTTTGATACCTGTTCAATGGAAAATTTCAATAATATAAACAAGTACAAGAAATCATTTATATTGACACGCTCTGAACATCCTTCCTTCTGGATCAGAGAAGGTTTTTTTGTCCTTTTCATCTTTACTTCTTTTGAATTGTGAAAGTGGTAAAACATATTCATAATAACTTCAAATAATACAGAAGTATATTATGTAACAAAGTGAAGTCTTCCCAGTCTCTTGTTCCAAGGCAGCTTAAACGCAGGTGTATGCATTATTTGTGACTTTTGCTATTACAGGTTGAGTATCTCTTATCTGAAATGCTTGGGACCAGATGTGTTTTGGATTTTGGATTTTTCTAGATTTCGGAATATTTGCATTATACTTGCTCAGCATCTGTGATCTGAAAATCCAAAATCTAAAGTGCTCCAATGAGTATTTCCCTAGAGCATCATGTCAGCACTCAAAAAGTTTCAGATTTTGGAACATTTCAGATTTGGGATTATTGGATTAGAGATGCTCAACCTGTATTAACAAAGCCTTGGTGAGTCATGTTGCATGTACGTCTTTGTCTCCTTCCATTGGCAATTCTTGGGAACACTGTGTAGATGTGAAAGTGCAAGTTGCAAAG